CCGACGGGAGATGTTCCGAGAACACTTTCAGTGATGTGCCGAGGTGAACTGACTCGTTTGGCGCAACCAGGAGACCACGTTTCCATCACTGGGATATTTCTTCCTTTGGCACAAGCTGGGTTTCGAGGCATGACCCAAGGCCTGATGACCGACACTTATCTTGAAGCTCATCGCATCGTTCGTTTGAACAAGACTGAGGACGAGGAACTCGATTTGGGCGAACTCAGCCAGGAAGAGGTACATTTTATCTATTTAAATGGATTAATCCCACATGAGTTGATTTGATGTGTCAAAGATTGATTCCTACGTTTAAGAATTTATATTCATATGATACGGTTGAGCCTTGGCAATTTCGAACAACCCTGCGTTTAATTTTTTCTAGTCCCTGTCCAAAGTCCCCGAGTAACAATTCATTAAAAACCTCCCTAACTCGATAGCTTTTCCTCTCAAACCTCTGTTACTCGAATTTTCTGAGGCCTTTTAGCTATTATTTCATTGACACAGGAAAGAGAAGAGCAACTAACGTGTAATTCGATGTGTTTTTGAAAGGAAGTAAAAGACTTAATTGGGCAAATGAACCCTTGCCTCCAAGGTCAGCATCCTTTCAACTCATTTAGGAAGCAATTTAAGGCACAGAATATCACCAGTCACAATTTCCCGCAATTTTTCTTGGTTTTCCCCCAACCAAAATTCCTTTCAACTCGCCTATTTTTTCCCGTCCCTTGAAGTTTGGGAATTTCCATTCATCATTTCTTTTCGATCGGCAGATAAATTTGGTGAAAGACGGAAACTTCTACGACAAGATCGCTTCTTCGATCGCGCCCGAGATTTACGGTCACACTGACGTAAAGAAAGCATTATTGCTCTTGTTGGTTGGAGGATCCGATCGTGAAGCCCCTGGTGGAATGAAGATCCGTGGCAACGTGAACGTGTGTCTCATGGGGGATCCCGGAGTGGCGAAATCTCAGCTTCTGGNGGAATGAAGATCCGTGGCAACGTGAACGTGTGTCTCATGGGGGATCCCGGAGTGGCGAAATCTCAGCTTCTGGCGTATGTTAATCGTCTCACTCCTCGCGGAGTCTACACGACTGGACGAGGATCCTCCGGAGTGAGTGTTTTTTTTTGTTGCTGAAATATTTTGAGGATCCTCGGTTGATCCCTTTTAGTGTAAAATGTCATGATCCGAAGCGTCGATCCACGTGGGAAGTGTGAAACTATGATTAGATTACAAATGATTCCGGAGCCACAATCTGAAGTACAGTACCTGAACTGAGTGATCTGAAGCCCTGTGCAATTTTTAATACTGTACAATACCCTGTTTCCCGGGGCTCATCAGTATATGGTGGACAGGAAATGTTTTGGAGTTTTAAAAAACAGGAAGCTAAAAATCAGTTACATTAATGGACAGCAGGAAGCTCAGGAAATAAATGTTTCCTGATTAATTGATCTGTTGTCTAAGGAGTCTGGAAGTTAGGTGCAAACTTGGAGCTGGAACTCCCAAGAGCCACCAAAATTGATGAATTTTATTCTAATGCTCTTTTGTTTTGAGTTTTATTTTAAATTGTTAAATTCATTAACAGTTTTCAATTATCTTAGCAAAATGATCATGCTTTCAAGTTCCTAAAGCAAGTGGGAGATGTCTTAGTGAATTCTGTGGCAAACAAAATTGCACAGAGTGAAATCACGGACTATTTCAAGCATTAAAATGCTTGTTCCCATGTTAAAGTGTTGATTATGCAAATAATTACATAAATCTCAGTATAACATTTTTCGTTATAATGAATTTTTTTCAGGTTTCCTTGGGAGTTCGTTGTAATGATATTCTACTGTAAATGTATATTTAAGACGCCACCATTGACAACCGCGAAATTATTTTGAAAAACAAATCTTTTGTAATGAGGATGAACATCGGAAACCCCGTTAAAACGTCATCCGTCGAAATTATTGACTCCTGCATTATTATTTTTTGTTTTATACCCCGCCAGGATGATTCATTTTCTGTTCAATTTTAAATGTAACCCAAACAAATATGGCATAATCTACTTCTTGGGAACATTGGGTAGGTGTAATTTACGCTTCCTGCGGTTATTTTGATTGTTCCCCAAAATGAAGGGTATTTTCTCTGGTCCCAATGACTTCGTTTTAAAGAGATTTTACTGTATGAAAGACGGCGCTGTACTTTCCTGTTGATTAGTGGTGTTGATGCGAGCACATGATTAGATTCATGGTGTACATTTTTGATGAAATGCTCTTATATTTTCCTTTTTTCTATTTATGAAAGGTGGGTTTGACTGCGGCCGTGATGCGGGATCCGCTCACTGGTGAGATGTGTTTGGAAGGTGGAGCCCTGGTGTTGGCGGATCGAGGCGTGTGTTGCATTGACGAGTTTGACAAGATGCTGGACGCTGATCGAACTGCGATTCACGAAGTCATGGAACAACAGACTGTGTCCATTGCCAAGGCCGGCATCCTGACCACGCTGAATGCCCGCACCAGCATTCTCGCTGCTGCGAACCCGGCCTACGGGAGATACAATCCCAAACGATCCCTGGAGGTCAGATGCTTCCTCTATACGGTCGAGCCTCTTTCGAGTCAAATTTCAGAGGATTACCGAAAAAGAAAAAAAAAAGTAATTGGTGTAGGTTTGGAATTAGAGAAATGAGCATTTTTGTTGAGGGAAAGATACAAGAAGGGGCAGGAAATTGTGAATGGTGTTATTCCGGGTCTTGAATTGCTTCTTGAATGAGTCGACAGGCAGCTGAACTTGGATGTGAGGTTTCTTGTGCCCCATTAGTCCTTCACTTTCTTTCAAAACGCATCAAGTTAAATTTTTGGGTACTTTCCTGTTATCTCTGTACCTCATTCCTAGACCGCACTACCATCCAGACAAATTTTTAGGATGAGTTCATAATCGTGACGACCTACCAGAAACTGAATTTTATTTTTCCGCATTCTTCTGAAACTGATTTTGGGAGGCGGTTAGGTAAAGTTAGGTTAGGTCAGGTTATGTTAATTAAAAGATATTTGTAACTAACATAACCTGACCTAACTTTACCAAACCAACAAATTTTTAGGATGAGTTCATGATCATGAAGACCTACCAGAAACTGAATTTTATTTTTCCGCATTCTTCTGAAACTGATTTTGGGAGATGGTTAGGTAAAGTTGGGTTAGGTCAGGTTATGTTAGTTA